ACTGACTAGTTCAAAAACACAATCACCAAATCAAATTTTTACCATCCAATTGTTTTAATCATAGCTCCAAATTAACAGATTTTTAGCGATGTAGAATCTGTCTTCTTTTCATAACTTATACAAATGCACCAAACATCTCCTAGCCATAAATAAGATAAGCCTCAGAAAATAAAGACTGCAAGTCATTGCTACTCTTTGGAATTTTGTGACCCAATGACTGTATCATGCTGCTGAGTAATATCAACTAGACATGTAAAGCTCTCTCTCCCATACTCCTATCTCCTGGGAGTTTTCTTCTCTTCCTCACCTTCTTAGTAGTGAACTCAAAGACTATAATCTCTGCACAGATTCCTAGGGTGATTATGGTGATTCCCACAGTGTCAAAGCATTGCCCAATAAATGTTGTGTGTTTTACTGCCAACTCATGGTAAGTCTTTTTTCAAATCAGCCTTCAAATTTCTCAAACCACTTGCACATACATCACTGTGGTCATCATTGATTATTTCATTAGAATAAGTTACTCTAAGTAATATTACTGTGCTCAAAATCAATGACCTTTTTAATAACAGTCACATTTTATACATTTGCAAAAATAAAATAAACTCATACCAACAGTTTTGAAAAAAAACTAATCAGTCATTAAAATGCACAGATTCTTGATCTGGTTAAGAATCTAGAAGAAAAGAACCACACATTTTCAGTGACTGAGAAAATTATTGCTGATGTAGCTTTTGCTCTTTGTAGATATATATGTAATATGTATATGCATATTTAAAATTAAAATGTGACATATTATATATACATGTTGAGGGTGAAGTTTTCCTTTAGGATTCTGTAAATATTTATCGTATAAATAAATATAATATTAATTTGCAACTACCTAGTATTTTATTATGCAAATGTATCATGATTGGTTTAATTAAGCCCCTATTTTTCTCTCCTTTTTTATTATTTATTTTAAAATTGTGAGGTACTATTCAGGGTGAAGTATACAAATATTCATTGTGCAGGTACCCTTGTTGACGAGTTGTGCCCCCTCTTCCCCAGGAAGATTTCGACTACTATCATTCCCACCTACCCCTTGTCCTGCAGTTTCCCACTATTGTCAATACTTTTCTTAAAGTATTATGGTAGTTGTTTATGGTTCACTTATGAGTGAGAACATGTGATACTCAGTTCTCTGTTTCTGTGAAAGATCACTCAGTATTATAGACTCTAAGTCCATCCAGATTGGTGTGAAGTTCATGATTTTGTTCTTTATGGTTGCATAATATTCCATTGTGTATATGTACCACATTTTTTTTAATCCAGTCCTCTTTTGATGGGCAGCATGGTTGGTTCCATGTTCTTGCTATTGTGAACAATACTGCGATAAACACATGTGTGCAGGTGTCTTTTTTAAAGATATGAATAGACAGTTATCAAAAGAAGACATATGAACAGCCAACAGATACATGAAAAAAAAGTTCAGCCTTACTAGTCATCAAAGAGAGGCAAATTAAAACTACACTGAGATACCACTTAACTCCAGTCAAATGACCATCATCAATAACTCAAAAAATAACAGATGCTGGAGAGGATGTGGTGAAAAGGGAACACTTCTACACTGTTGGTGGCAGTGTAAACTAGTACAGCCTCTGTGGAAACCAGTGTGGCGATTCCTAAAAGTTCTAAAAATTGGCCTTCCAAAGGACACTGCAATCCCCCTTCTGGGAATATACTCCGATCAAACTAACATTTCTTAAGCACTTACCTGATGCCAGGTACTGTGTTAGGCTTCCTGTGTGCATTATCTCATGTAACCCTCACAGCAATCATATATACGATAGGTGTTTGTATACCCATTTTACAAAAGGAAAATAAGTCCAACAGAGATGTTGGGTATCTTGCTCCAGGTCATATAGCTTGGGAGTGGCCAAGTCACAATTTGAATTCTGGTCTCCTGTTATTTGGATGCCCTGGCTCTTCTTGAGCCTCACCTTTGCTTCTCTTTCCCCTTCTTCTTGCCTTGGATGAATGAAGCAGGTGGGCGAAGACCTGGCATTCCCAGATGTTCTGGATGTAGGTATCTTGAGAAGCAGAAGAGGACTGGGTAGGCAGCACTTGGGTCTGGGCTGGTGTGTGGTAGCCATCTATATTGGATGTCAGGATATCCAAGCAGTTGTGTCTCTGTGTCACTGCCTTGTAGAAGCCCAGGTGCGTACTGCAAGTGTGCAGTCTGCTGTGGACGCAGTTGCCAGGTCCAAAAGGCGTGGTTTCTGTCTTAGATATAAGAGCTGGTGTTTGGAATGTGGTTCTGGTGGGACACTGAAGCCACCAGGACCCCACATTGAGATATTTATCTGGGCACATACCTGGAGGATGTGAGGAGTACTTGGGAGAAGTCAGAAGAATGAGTCAATGGGGAGAAAAGGTGGACAGGCCTGGCCAGTGTGCAGGAGGGTGTGTAGGTGGGACAGGTCACGGGAATAGCTGGGCCAGCACAGAGAAGCCCACCCCAGGGACAAGGAAAGGCCAGCATTTCCCACAGGGTCCTTGGAACACAGACCTCGACTTGCCCAACTGAGTTTTGTAAATTCCTCCTTCTCCCTCTCTGAGAGTTTAAGTTCCCCATATGTATTGCTATAAAGGTTTTAGGAACTCCTACAATAAAAACCTGAGTTAGTCTAGTATTTCTCAACACATATTAACCGTTTATCCAGTGTTAGGTCTAGGATTTCTTTAAGCTTTTCCAATTCCTTTCTCCATCACGTTATTTTTTTCAGTGTGGATGCATTAGGTTTTCAAAGCCTTCACATTTGTATCAGCTTGGCAAAGGGAATTTTCAAACATGTGGATAGATATTTATGTGATATTTAGTGGAACATGACTTATTGCAACAAATCTATTAGAAACAAACGTGTTCAACAGTCATGTATACTTAGATAAATTATGAGCCGTTTATCGCCTAGAGTTTTGGAAGAAATTTCAGTGACACAAGAAAATACTGGTGGTATGAATGAACATTTAAAAACATATTTTCCTTTGAAAATTGTAACCACTCAACAATATTGAAAAATTCAGTAATGCAATTAACAGGGAAATAAAAACATAACACACCAGTGTATATCCTTCCATGCCGGGGACCAGCTCCAGCCGGGTTCAGGGTACCCCAAAGGTGGAGATGTCATCGGCGATTGGGGTTAAGAAGAGAGAGAAAGAAAGAGACTGAATTCTAGTCTAGTGCAGAAGCTATGTGTGTCGTTGGGAATTACAACGGGTCTTTTATATACAAAGTCAGATGTGGGAGGGGGGTCCCCTACCCACCAGAAACCTTAATCCATGAAAACTTAATCAATGATTGCCTTAAACCCTTTTCATATGATAATCTTAAAATCCCATAACAAAGGA